CTGCCTTGCTGGAGAAGGAAAGACAGTGTTTATAGTCTGGATAAGTGTTCTCCAAAGACCTATGTGGAAAAAAGGCTTGGTCCCTGGCCAAGCCTTGGTCCTTGGGAAATTGTAAAACCTTTAAGAGGTGATGTTTCCTGGACATTTACCTACCACTGGGGGTTATAGGGAATAGGAAACCTTTCTCCTTCCTGTCTTTTGGTTTCTTGTAGGGACAGAACTCTTTTCCTTGTGTTCTCCATGGACTGTGTCAACAAAGCTGCAAAAGCAGAGGCCAGGCACAGACTGAAACCTCTGAAACCTGGATGCAAAATAGACCTTTGCTCTTTCCAATGTGATTGTTCTACATACTTTATTACAGTAGCTGGTAGGGGAGCAATACATCACTTAAATACAAAAGTAAATATCCATAGATCAATAAATGATGTTGAATTCATGCTTTAGAAATGAAAATCACAACAAAAAATTCCCTAAACTACCATGAAAGACATTAGAAATTGACAGATAGTAGAAAGAATGTGATATGCATGATATAATTACACATGGTTAGGTTGGGACAAAGGATCTGTACAGCTATATTTGAGAGGAATATTAAATGAATATGTGATTTCAGCATAAGGGATAACCTAGTTCTTTAATAAATAAAAATAGTAGTCTGCTATGAACTAAATATATTTATGTGTTTATTAATAAGCTCATGCTGATATTAAAATAAGTGATTAAATAAGTGAATAAGTTTGAGAAGACACATTTCTGATGCATGAAAATTCCAAATAGTTTATGAAGAAATTTCACCCTGAAGGAGATGAAACACATTCCTTCGTGTGTGTGTGCACGGGCTATGTGTGTGCGAGCACATGTGTATGTTCATGTTATGTGACTGCTTATTTCCAGCCCTTACTTTCTACTCCTGAGCCCCACTGCCGCCCTCATTCCTTGGTTAATTTTGGAGATAGTCTCACTATAATTCAGGTTGTCCTTGAATCCTTTATGGCCTTGAAAGAACCTTCCATTTCCCGCCTGACTGCTGAGATGATAGTCATGTACCAGCAAGCTAGCCTCTGTCTGTGAGTGTGACTTTCCTCTAAAAAGGTGTGAGCTGAAAATATCGACTTCCCTCTAAAAGTATAGTATGGAATTGAGGTCAAAACAGTAGAGAACCTGTGGAGAAACCCAACACACACTGCTTCCACCAAGCAATGAAGGTTGACATCCCAGTGATGGGCCATGTTGCCATACTCCCTGCATTAAGACAGGATGAAAATGGCCCTTTCCCCATGCTCTTCCTCCAAAAGTCCTATGACCTCATCTAACCACAAATAAGCATCTGAGATAGACGAGTTGAAGGAAATTTTTTCATAACACATGGTTTTAGTTTTTATTATGCTATGAACACACTAAATATTGCTTGCATACATGCATGCATACATATGAACGAGCCTCAGAACAACAAGGACACTTTTGGTCTGTAACCTCAGCCATCATGACCTCAATTAGAATGAGAAGATGAATTCTTACAGTCTTTTTGATCCCTCCCAACTATAAAGGCCTAATAAATTACAACTACTTAAATATCTTGTTAATATATATTTTTACATTTGGGCTAGATATTAGTCCATATGTGTTTTCAGTTGAAGGAAATTTAACAGCATATTTGACCAGCACCTGTCAGGGTCGCTAAAAAACGAGGGGTGTCTGAAATGCTGCCACAGCCAAGAGGAGCATAAAGGAACATGACTATAGAGCACAATGTGGAATCCCAGATCAGAAAAGTACATGCCATAGAATGAGAACAGTCTGAGCAGAGTGTTCCATGTGACACTGAGATGATAGTGATGTGTCGGTGGACAATAATGGTGGCAACTGGCTGTGGGATATATGGGAACTTTCTATACGAATGTACTCTTATTTTTAGATCTCAATTGCCTTAAAAGTCTTAAAGCAAAGGACACTGTCATCAGAACAAAAGGACAGCCTACAGATAGAGAAAAGATCTTCACCAATCCTACATCTGACAGAGGGCTAATATACAGAATATATAAAGAACTCAAGAAGTTAAATACTAAAACCAAGAAATCCCATTTAAATGGGGTACAGAGATGAATAGAATTCTCAACAGAGGATTATAAAATGGTAGAGAAACACTTAAAGAAATGCTCAATGTCCTTAGTCATCCGAGAAATGCAAATCAAAATGACCCTGAGATTCCACCTCACACCCATAAGAATGGCTAAGATAAAAAACTCAAGGGATAATACATGCTGGGGAGGTTGTGGAGAAAGGGGAACCCTCCTCCATTGCTGGTGGGAATGTAAATTTGTACAACCACTTTGGAAACCAATCTGGTACTTTCTCAGAAAATTAGGAATAGTGCTACCTCAAGACCCAGCTATACCACTCCTGGACATATATCCGAAAGATGCTAACCCATACAACAAGAACATTTGCTCAACTATGTTCATAGCAGTGTTATTCATAATAGCCAGAATCTGGAAACAACCCACATGTCCCTCAACTGAGGAATGGATACAGAAATTGTGGTACATTTACACAATGGAATACTACTCAGCATTTTAAAAAAAGGAAATCATGAAATTTGCTGGCAAATGGTGGGAACTAGAAAAGATCATCCTGAGTCAGGTAATCTAGACACATATTGATATGTGTCAATCAAGGTATATATTGATAAGTGGATTTTAGCCATATAATATAGGATAAAGATACTAAAATCTATAGTACTAAAGAAGCTAAACAACAAGGAGGACCCTAGGGAAGAGGGTGAAACTTCACTCAGAAGGGCAAACAGGATACATATCGGAAGTTGGAGAAGACAAAGAACAGGAGAGAAACCTTCCACAGGGGACCTCTGAAAGGCTCTACCCATCAGGATATCAAAGGAGATGCTGAGACTCATAGCCAAACTTTGGGCAAAGTGCAGGGAACCATATGGAATAAGAGGGAGATAGAAAGACCTGGAGGGGACAGGAACTCCACAAGGAGACCAACAGAGCCAAAAAAACCTGGGCCCAGAGCATCCTGCAGAGACTGATACTCCAACCAAGGACCATGTATGGAGAGGACCTAGACCCTTTGTTCAGAGGATGCCTATAGGCAGCCCAGTTTCCAAGTGGGTTCCCTAATAAGGGGAGCAGAGGCTGTCTCTGACATGAACTCAGCGGCTGGCTCTTTGATCGCCTCCCCCTGGGGGGGTGCAGCCTTGCCAGACTACAGAAGAAGATGATGCAGCCATCCCTGATGAGACCTGATTGGCTAGGGTCAGAAGGGGACAAGGACCTCTCCTATCAGTGGACTAGGGAAAGGGCATAGGGGGAGAATAGGGATTCAAAGTGGGATACAAATGGGATACAAAGTGCATAAATTGTAATAAATAAATAACAAAAATGTCTTAAGGGTACTAAAAGGAACACTCTTGAGATGCCAGACTTTCTGGCACTGGGGGAACTCTGCCAGAAAAGCAGTGTGGAAAACGCCCCCAATTTATTCCTTACAGGTATCGGGATTTGCCAAGTCCAGGGATAACCTAGAAATTGAAGAGCTCGTCCATTTTACAGTCAGTAAGCCTTTGCTTGCTTCTGGGTTCTTGACTACAATTTCAAACTGCATCTATCGTCTCTATTTAGATGACTGAGTAGGAATAACAGAGAAAAACTATTTATTTATTTCTTTTTTTAAATGAGCAATTCTACACCAGTCACACTGCTGTTAAAGTGAGACTTAAGAGCTCAGAGGAACACACAACTTTGCCAGCTGCAGTTCTGCTACACTTCCTGCAGATTTCAGCTTCCTTGCTGATTTTCATCTGAGTACGCACCAGTGTTCCGATTGATACAAGCTAATATTTCAGAATGCATAAAGGCTTCATTGTGAATCTTCAACTTCCAAGCTTGACAAGTCCCCTTCCCCGATACAACAGGCACCCTGCCTGGGCTCTGAGGGACATTCCGCTTTGTGAGCTCACATCACTTTGGGCATGGTCTAAGGGAGTCTGAGAAAACGCCTTAATATTGGGGCTTTGAGACGTTCATCGGGCAGAACAATTTTATTAATTTAAATACTATAAGTACTGTGACTGGAACTTGAACGTCAACAGTAACATATACCACTCCCCCAAGAAAGAAAAAAAAAACAAAACAAAAGTTAACATGGCACCACCAACAACAAGATTTCAGCGCTTAAAATCCATCGTAACTTTTTTTTTCCAGTTTCCTAAAAAGTTATCGCGAAGAAAACAACATCAAATTTCAAATCACATTAGCCCAGCATCCGTGCAAATCCTCTTTGAAAACACCCAGAGAAACTGGCTTTGGGACGCCTCGCCTGCTACGCCAGCTGCCAGCTTCTCATTCATCTCCTGCGCCTTTCTAACAATCGCCCTGCTGGCTGGACTTCCCCCGAGGACGCGGCAGCTGGCTAGAGTGGACAGACAAGACTTTTCTAACTAGGTTTTGCAGGCAGAGAGGCTAAAAGCTACCGTGGTTCAGCAGCCTCGGCCTTGGCCCACCATGGCTTCTAAAGTGTTCCACTAGCACCTTGCCGGGGCAGCTGGGACTCTGCCACTGACCCCTTGGCCGCTGGTACTTGAGAGTGGCCTTCCCTAACCCCGGATGCCATCTTCCTTGGGCTCTTTGCATCTTAAATACTTAGTGAGTTTTTGCATTCTGATCACGTCCCTGTGTCTTTGGAAACTTCCTCCGACTTTGCAAGGAGATGAGAATCTAGAGTCTAGCAGGGACCCTTAATTTTCTTCAACTGTAACTGACAAAATCCAACACTACAAGACACTCAAGACTTCGGTCTCCCCGCCCAGAGCCTGCCCGCTTCCAGATTACCCTTCCTGCACCCAGAGTGCAAACCCTCGTGCCCCGGGACAGATCCCCAGCCCTGAGCGCCATGCTTGCAGGCAAGAGTCCCGGAGGCTGGGATAGCGGGACAGAGAGTAGGTAGGAGGGTGGCGAGGTGGAGGTACCCCAGCGACTTACAGTCCAGGGCGACCATCAAGTAGTGCAGCAGCAGCAGCATCAGGAGGCCTTGGGGGCTCCTCGCCATCTACGCGGGCGCCAGCTGGCTGCGTAGCCGAGGGTCCCCCCGCAGGAGCGCGACAGGCAGCGGGGGCCCCCAGCACTTGGCGGGGCGGCGGAGCAGAGAGTGGGTCTCCGGAGAGGTGGAGGCAGAGAGGCGGGATCTGTGCGGATGTCAGTCTCTCCGGTCAGGGGTGTCTCCACTGGCTGCCGTGGGACGGGTCCTCTGGCCCTGGGACGTGGGGTCTCGGACGTTCCTTCTTTTTAAGGGTGGGGAGGCTTGAGGAGAGGGCGTGGACGCAGGACGCGGTGTCCGCAGGGTCCTAAACGAGGGGTGCGGGAGGCGGCTGTCCGAGGGAGAGCCCTGCAGGTCGGTCTCCGCCCCCGGGCTTATCCGCTTTGTGTCTGGTCCCGCGCTGGGCTGCCAGCTGTCCCCAAGGCGAGGGGCGGGGGGGGGGGGGGGCAGCCGGGGGGGGGGGGCACCGGGGGGGGTGGGTTTGTATCAGTCTGTCTGCCCTGGGCTGCCAGTTGTCCCGGGGGGGGGGGGGGGGGGGGGGGGGGCGCAGCCGGGTGGGATGGGCACCGTGGTGTGTGTGTTTGTATCAGTCTGTCTCCCCACGTCTCTTCTTCTTCTCGGCGCAAAAAAAGCCTTCCTTTTCAGTGTTTTGCCTAGCGTGGGAGATTTTCGGAAATTTTCTACCTAGTGGACAAAATCGCTGGGAAAGCGCTCTTAAAGTAGAGTTCGTGAGCTCAGCCTCAGACTCTGGAAAGGGGGGCTCGGGGAAAGGGGCTGGGCAGCCATCATTCGTGCCGCCAGTCAGGTCCCAGATTTTATCATCAGCATTGGCTTCTTCTCGGGTCAAGGTTTTTCCCCTTAGAGAGTTAAGGTGTCTTGTGGGTTCTTGGCTTTTCCGTTGTCATCTGGAAGTTCATCTGATGGTGTGAAATATTTATCTTGTTTCTTTCCCGTTATGTAACTGCCGCCTGTGGAGTTTTCCACATGTTAAAACTCTACAGCTGCCCTTTTGTCAGGTTTATTTTTGTCCCCTGTGCTTTTAAAAGGGAAATCCATTATGAATGCCCCAGCGCGTGCTTTAAAATTGACCGGCATTTTCGGAAGCGCGCACTTGCAAAGGCGATTTTCACATTTGCTCCCCAGAACTGATGTCTGGGGCGCTCAAGAAAATTGACCTGTCCGTGTAAAGGCCGTTTTCAGGTGAAGACTTTTTTTTTTTTTTAATAGATCGGCTTAAATAAGGTACGATAATGAATAATTGTGTGTAGAAGACAGCTGATTCAGTGGTGGACTTCCAAAGAATTGAGCCAGCCTTGCGGACAAAGGCTAAGATATACTTAGATATGTGGAGCTGTGGAGAATGAGGCATCCCCACTGTTGCCTTGGCAACAGTGACGAAAGCCTTGTCCCCCATGGGGAAGAGGAGGGGGACAGAGGACCCCTGGGGGCAGGAAAAGCAAAGTAAAAAAAAAAAAAAGGCAAAAATGTTGGAGCTGGTTCAAGCAAACAGTAGGAGTGTCATCTAACTTAAGGGTCATGGCCTGTGCTCTGAGGCAGGTTAAGACAGTCGTCCTCAACAAGCCAACTAAAAGCGTCAAATTAGCAGTGAAGTGCTGAAGGATAGTTCCCCCACTCCCTTCAGAGCATTGTCTGTTCTTCAACAAGACTGGGGTTCAATTCCCAGTACCGACATGGCAGCTCACAACTACCTCTAATTCCAGTTCCAGGAGATCCAACATCCTTACACAGACCTACATGCAATACACATGACATAAAATAAATAAATTTTTAAAAAGTAGTGAAAGAAGGGGAGAGAAAGGCTGAAGAGATGGTTCCAAGGTTAAGAGCTCTGACTGCTCTTCCAGAGGATCCAGGTTCAATTCCCACCACCCAGATGGCAGCTCACAGCCGTCTGTAACTCCAGTTCCAGGGGATCCAACACCGTCACACCAATGCACATAAAATTAAGTGAATTTAAAAAAATACAAAAGAAGAAAGAAAGAAAAAAGAGAGAGGGAGGTATTCAATGTGGTCATCTGGAAAGAGGGACATCGAGGTGCAAGAGGGACATCGAGGTGCAGTGAACCCAAAGTCTGTCTTTGGGGTCCTGAAGTGAGATGAAATAGAGGGCCAAGGGTATCCACATCTAACCATCACTGTCTGGGCTTCTCATCCTGTAGAGGGTGGTATGACAAACAGTTAGAACTATGTGAATTCTCTTTCAGGGAGACAAGTGTCCCCTCTGGGTGGTGCCTTTTCCTTCTCTCAGCATTGAGATTCCTGGGGAATTTCCCACTCCTTTGGCACTCTTTGTCTTAATAGTCTAAATAATAGTTTAAATATCATTTAGAGTGAGAGACTCACTCATGTTTCTCTTTAAAATAGTTTAATTTCTTCCAGGCCTTTTAAAGAAGACAAAAGCAAAAATCTCTGCTTAGACTGCTTAATCTGCTTTTGGGAAAATGCTGATTTTTGTTGCTGTTGTGTTACAGGTCTGAGGTCACTCAGAGATTCACTATGACCATGAATAAATTTTAATGTTTGGTTTTGGTTGTTTGGTTGTTTTTGTAACTTGGGTACTAGCACCTGAGTGCACTCCCAAGAGGCACCCTCTGGGGATCTCAGCCTGAGGCTTATGAAGGCAAAACCCAAAAGAGTATATGTATCCTGTGTACGTGTGTCGGCGGGGTCTGATTTTAACATAGATCTTCTAGTTGTTCTAGTCATCTTTTTGAGCAGAGTAAGCAAGTTTGATTACAAAAGCAGGAATAGCCGTTAGTGTTATGACCTACTATCAGCGTATTTTACAAGATCAGTCGATTTAAGACTAGTCTTCAATGTCTGGGATAAAAGGGGAAATGGCTGGTGGGGTACAGCCTATCCAAGCTAGGGGCTTGCATTTTTTGCTTTTTGGTCTTAGCAAGTCTGAACTCTAAATGTAATATTAATTATCACAGTTGTTATTGGTTTTTTGAGACAAAGTCTCCGGACAAAGCCCTGGCTATCCTGAAACTCACTATGTAGACCAGGCTGGCCTCAAACTCTTAAGAGATCTATCTTTTTCTGCCTCCCATGCACCACCACATCTGGCCCCAAATTTTAATACATTTTTTACCAAAGTTGTTAGAGTTCTTCCCCCTCATCTTTGCTATCATTGTGTCTTTTTTACTTCTTCTTAAAGAACCATGTTTTGTTTTACTTTTTTTAAAGACCTAGTCAGAGCTTATTCTGTGACACTCTGTTTATTCACCGACTCATTCATTAACAGGCTAGCCAAGGCATCTGTCCAGTAGCTACAGTGTATTCAGTGGGGAGAGCACTGAATAAGACCAAGCTTTGCTGTTAATAAACTCACAGTCTCCAGGAGAGAGACAGTTCCTTTCGTAAATATTTCTAACATCACATAATGTTAGCAGTAACTTTTGGGTGGGGGTATTAACAGCTGTTTTTATTTCATGCTTTTTCAGTGGTGGAGTTTAAAAGTAGCAGTACTTAATCTTCCCCAAAGGAAGAAATGTTATCATTCCGACTTTACAGATGAGGAAACTAGGCTGAGGGATGCCCCATGGCTCACCTAAGGTCAAGAAGGGGGTGGTCTTTCTGATGGGGATGGGGTCAGGGCTTTATTTATTTATTAGGTTTTGAAAATGTTTGAAAGGAAAGAAATAAAGGATGAACGTTTTAGGTAGAACAAAGAACAGTGGTAATAGCTGGGAGATCTAAAACTGGGTGTTGCTGGGAGAAGCAAGCCTATGCAGTGCTAGAATATAAACGGAGTTGGGCAGAGGACATAGTGGTGAAAAAGCAAGAGATTAGGTTACAAATGTTATTCAGCACCATACTATCGACTCTGGACATTATGCTACAGGAAATGAGTCCTTTGAATGCAATGTGATAGGGGAGGAAAAGATCTGTATTTATTAAAGCAGTGTCTTGTCGTGAGGCTCAGGCACTATTAACAATGCCACCTAGGACTGCTGGTTTGCTCCTAACTAATTTCTTACACCTTATCTTTCTTGTGTTCTTTCTGGGCATTTTCCTTCTTCCCTCCTTTCCTTTCTTTCTTCCATTCTCTTCCTCCTCCTCTTGTTTTGTTTTCTTTTGCTTTTCAAGATAAGCTTTTTCTGTGTAGCCCTGGCAGTCCTAGAACTCACTTTGTAGACCAAGCTGGTTTCAAACTCAGAGATTTAGAGATCTGCCTATTTCTGCTTCCTAAGTGCTGGGATTTTAGGGACCAGGCTCTCATCCTACTTCTTTTTGTTTGTTTGTTTGAGACAGTGATTTTCTTTGTAGACCAGGATGGCCCCAAACTCACAGAGATCCACCTGCCTCTGCCTCCCGAGTGCTGGGATTAAAGACATGGTCCATATCCAGCTCATTCTATTTCTTATTGTAGTTATTTAAGACTCCCCTCCCCCCCCCCGGCCAATTAATCTCATTTACTCTCTTGACTTCTTTTGTCTTCCAGAACCACTTCCTGCCTCAAACTTTCAATCCTCCTGCCTCTGCTACCATGATCAGTTGAAAACCTGTATCTTAGAACTACGTTAGCCAACATGGTGGCCTCTAGACCCAAATGAGTGCATAAGTTTGAATTTAATTCTGTTTAAAGAGCAGTTCTTCCTTCCTGCTTGTCACACTTGTAGTTCCCAATAAGCACTTTTGGGGAGGAAGGAGCTGCAATATAGAAGGAGGCAAGCATAAAGCATTTCTGTCATTGCAGAAGGTAAAGGTTGGGTTGAGATAAGAGAAACAGAACAGAACATTGGGCAAGTCTAAAGCCATTATTATGGCCTGTGTGTGAGAGAGAGGTGTGAAGTAAATAGAGCACAGGAAGTGAACAGCCAGTAAATTCAGTCGGGATTCACAAACCCAATAAGCAGGATTATCTCACCAATTAGCTGTAGATAAGGGGAGAGGGGAGAGAAGGCAGGAGAAAAGTGGGAATTTATCTATAGAGCCCCATAGCCCATTAGCGTGCCCTTCCACTCTAATCTCCACCTGCACCTCACCTGTCCGACTTACTTTCACTTTAAAGTTATGAACAGTATTTTTCAGGTAAACACAAATAGAGACTTGGTACTTTGGGAACCTGTCACCATTTTTTATCCTTTTCACCCACTCTAATTCTGAATTCAGATATCATTCAAGAGGTGTGGAGGCACATTTCCTAAAAGAAGTGATGAAGGAAAGGGATGGGTTTAGACTGAGTGACTTCTCACAGTGTCTCAGACTTGGTGTTTCTGTGTTGCATGGGTTATTTTTCCTCATGGGTGTGGAGAAGGTGCTGGAAAGTGTGCCTACGCTGTAATTTTAAGAGAGCCAAAAACACGTTTTCCATTTCCATTACCACATGAAAG